GGGTGAGTGTGAGAGAGTGGGAGGGACTGGGGTCAGTGAGAGAGTGATAGGGGCTGGGGGAGTGTGAGAGAGTGAGAGGGACTGGGGTCAGTGAGAGAGTGAGAGGGGCTGGGGTGAGTATGAGAGAGTGAGAGGGGCTGGGGTGAGTGTGAGAGAGTGAGAGGGGCTGGGGTGAGTGTGAGAGAGTGAGAGGGACTGGGGTCAGTGAGAGAGTGAGAGGGGCTGGGGGGAGAGTGAGAGTGAGACTGGGGTGAGAGTGCTCAGAGGCTGGGCCCTGTTACTCAATGTGTTGTCTCTCTCTTTCTGGCTCTCAGCTAACAGTTCCTTTCCTGGCTTCCATGCTGCTCTGTCTTGTCTCTCTGTATCCAGCCACCTTAGTAGCAGAGCACACAGCAGTTACCCATGACCCTTATGTGGGGGTTACAAGTTTAGGGGAACCCTGACTGTCACACCACCTGGTCTTCTTCCTGTGCTTTTTGTCTGAAACATGAGCAGCAGGTTTTGACGCAGCTCTGAGAGCTGCAGGCAGCAGGAGGTGGCCGAGCTGACCATCGATATGAGACAGCAGCGAGAGAAGAACTCCCGATCAGCGTCAGTCCTGCACTGCAGGGGTAGAAAATGAGTGACTCTTTTGTACTGATCTCCTGATGATGCACAAGTTAAGACCTGTGAGATTAAAGCCCTCTGCTGCGTCAGGCTCTGCGCTGGGCAGCAGGCAGCTGAGGAGACACCCCGCCTGTTCAGTAGCGGGGGCGACAGAGCCCAATCACAGAGAGGCAAAAAAGCCACAAGCTAAGAAAACAGAGTTTATTGAAAAGAACTGAGTCTCAACCACTAGAATTAGCCAAAAGAACTTCCTTATCCATTAGCAACACACAACACACATGGCAACACTTGTGAATCTTGCAGTCACATTCTGTCACCTACTTTCTTAACCGATGACCTCAAGAATCATGGATCACTAAACCCTATTTGGTCACATTTGAGTTACAATTCGATTTAATCGATACAACTAAATAAGCAAAGACATCAAGAGAGAAAAAAGCAGAATATGCATGTTTTTCATAGAGATGCAATCTCTATTTCATTTGCCTTTAGGTTTGCATGAACTTGACAGTAAAAACAGTTCTTATAGTCTTCATGAAGACCCTTTTTCTTTTAACACATGGAGAATCGTATGTCTGTAAAGGACATTTACAGTACAGGAGGCACTTCTTGACACAACGGGTAGAGGAACTTATGGTTTCCCTGAGACCCCAGGAGAAAAATCCTCATATCAGACAGAACAGATGTTCTTCCCTGATTCACAAGCTTTCAATATTGTTTTCTGTTTCTGTTCTTGCATGAAACTCCTTGATGTAAGTGCTCCTTCAACTTAAAAGAGTTTGGCGGCACAGCAGCTGAACACACCCACATGAGAATCCCAGTCAAAGGGAAAGGATGCTTGTTTCGTGCAGTCAGACCCAGAACGTCTTTCCAGAACCTAAGGTGTGAAATTCCATCCATCCATTTTCTAACTGCTTCACCCAATTCATCCCAACAAGCAGCAGGCACAAGGCACAGTACTGTACATCTTAGAAGGGAAGCCAGTCCACCACAGAGCAGACAGACAGAGACACAGACACACACACTCTCACCAGGGCCAATTTTCCCTGAAGCCAGTTAACCCACCAGCATTGGAGTGTGGGAGGAAACCCATACAAACATGGGGAGAACATGCAAACTCCACACAGACAGCACCCCAGGATCGGACTTGAACCCAGGGCTCCAGCTCTGCAAAGCAGCAATGCTGACCTCTGTGCCACTGAGCTGCACAGGTGGGATGTTTTTGAAAATCAATGAATTGCTGATGTTTCCGCTTCGGTGATTTCCAGCTGTGCGGATGCAGAGGTGCTCTCCTTGTGACAGCTGCATCAATGAAGCAGCACCCCGAAACAAGAGAGGGCGAAGACCATGGGCCACGCGGCGGCGTGCAAGAACGCTCCTGCCACCTGCAGGTGGGGGGTGGAAACGCTGCAGCGCTGCAGGTTGCCGGCTCTGTCCCACAGGAGCAGCTCGGCCTCTGTGGAGCAGCAGCTGGAGGTGTACGCAGCCTGGACCGCGGCCCACGCCGAGCTGTTCCCCAGGAGCAGGGGGCCCTGGCCCTCCTGCAGGTGCTCCTCCTGCGCCCCGGACGCCCCACGGAGCACGAGCCGGCCTCGCCCCCGGCCCAGCTGCACCCTCCCCAGCCCGGAGCGCCCCCGGTCAGAGAGGAGCAGGGAGGCCGACCAGCTGGCGTTGGCGCAGGCCTCCGGGGGGAGCGCGGGGCAGCTGCCTCGGACCTGCAGCGGAGAGCAGGAGGGAGGCTCCAGGTCGGGGTCCTGGGGGGAGACAGGGGAAAGCAATGAGGGTGAAGGATGGGGCACCCCAAAACCTCTGTCTGTGACTGAAAACAAAGAGGGAAGAACTTCACCTAAAGCCGCGGTCCTCAAAGAGGCCTGATCTAGGGCTCGTGGGTGACCCATTGCGAAAGACTGGGAACACCTGCGCCTAATTACTGAAAAAAGGCAATTAACCTTTTCATTATGAGAAATCTGGCCCTTGACAACTCACTTGCAAATGATGTTTAAATTACACTTAACAAACAAATCGTTTAACTAATCACCTGCTTCACTGATTGCCCTTAGAAACTGGGGAACTAAGGGGGACAGATAAACTCTACTGGACTGAGGCTCTCTGGGAGATGGGAAGGAGAATCCTGGTTTCAGGCTACAGAACAAGCAGGTTCACACCCAGCCCCACAGCTACCCAGGCTCAGACAGACACATTTATAGAATTTGTTTTCCAGTAAGATGACCCTGTATCCTCGTTTTCTTGGAATTCTTACCTTTTCAGGTGGCCAGCATCCCACAGATTTTCTACAAACCGATTCGAGGTCACTAATCGCACACAGCAGAACCGCGGCACTGACAAACTGTGACCGATGTGCTCAGCCTGGGCTCAGTACCAGGGATACCTGACTCGTGGCCCTTCTGCACCACTGCAGCTCCTCGATTGCTAAATCTGCTAAATCAGCTCTGCTACTAATCAGTGAGTGAATCAAGCAGCTGATTGTAGCTGATTGGAGGGGTCTCTGGTGGAGTTCACTGGGGCAGGGTGTCCGCTGGCCCATGCTAAACCAGCTGGCAAGAGAGAAGGAAAAAGACCTCACAATACCCCACCCCCCGGCTCCCTCTCTTTGTCCCCCCACGGCTCGCAGCCTTACTGGACCAGAGCGGAGGGGAGGGGGAGAAACCGCGTTCCCTTTACCGTGTTGACCACGCTGAGGTGCAGCACTGCGAAGTTGGCATCTCTCTTGTCCTCCGATTCCACGCTCAGGCTCAGGGTGGCCGCGCTGCCCACCTGCGCCCCGCCGGGCGTGTCCAAATCCACCCAGCTCCGGACCGTGCCGTCCTGCGCCACGGAGAGCCTGGCGGGACGAGATGGAGTGGTGGGAATTGGCAAGACTGGCGCAGCTGTGGGCTGGGAATGGCTGAACACATCAGGAACCTACACCAGTGCTGATGGCATGACTGACTCAGCCGCAGGCGTGAGGTCGGCGTGCCTGGCTCAGCCGCAGGCTAGAACAGCGCTTACCTCTCCCTGCCCTTGTGTTTGAGAAACCCCCTGTCGTCAGCAGCTGTGAGGACAAACGTCCTGGCAGGGCCCCGGTTGTAAATGTCGAACCATACGGTGGAGGTGGTGCCGGGGGCCAGCTGGGGGAGAGAGAGCACCTGGAGCCGCAGGTTCGGGGGAGAAGGAGGGACGCGGGTCAGCTGCGGCACGTCGTCACAGCGGCCGAGCCGAGGTGCTGCCGGTGGCTCAGGGGCGCCTCACCTGCAGCTGCACGTGTGTGGCCTGGACCATTTCGCCGGACGCCCTCTCCAGCACGTTCCCCTGACCGTCTGTCCCCGTCAGTCGCACAGAGAAAGGGACCGTGGGTAATGCGGGGAGCTGGCTCACAAACTCTCCGGGAGAGGACGAGGAAGAGCTGAGCTGCGCTCCCAGCAGGCTCTCGCCACGGGCGCTCAGCAGCGTCACGTGACTGAAAGAGACCTTGTGGCTGGCAGAAAGACCCGTCACTGTCAGCACCAGGAAGGTGGGGACACCTGACATGAGCAAAGGAATACAAAACAGAGTAAGCAGATGGGATACACAGATACAGGCGGACAAGGCACTCGTGACCTCGTGACCACATGAACAGGCAGAGGTTCACTCCGTGCTGAAAGGTGAGGGAAGGAAACAGTAGTTTCGTCAGGTAATAATAATAATAATAATAATAAAACTTTATTTTATATAGCACCTTTAAAGGTGGCTTCTCAAAGTGCTTTACAGGATGGCAATAACAATAAATAAGAAGAGTATAACAATAAATAAGGAGAATACACAAGATAAGACACAATGACAATATACAGAGGAGACCGTGGATGGTGGTACTAAGAGAAGCAGAGGGGTGAAGAATGGAACCAGTGAAGTAAAGGCTCTTCTAAAGAAGAGGGGTTTGAGTCTGCCCTCCTCTGCTCCCTGCCCCTGCTTACCGGCTCTCTACTTTGCTCTCCCGTGTGTTATTTATCTACTGCTCTGCCTCTCTTCCTCATACCTGAAGAAGGCTCCACAGCCGAAACATGGTGTTTCTTTTCCTTGCCTCTCAGCAGAGAGCACCTCTCTGCCGGTTCCTCTGCAGCCTGCGTTCGCTGACACAGCTCCCGACTCAAACACCTTCAACAATACGGCCTGATTTGCTATGACCCCCCTCCCTCGCTGCCCGTTACTTCACTCTGACTTGTCACCCGCTGGCGTGGCTGATGCTGACCTGCGACTGGGCTGCCCTCCACCCTGGACAGGCCTGGGTGAGTGCTGTTGACAGCCACGGCAAAGTGGTACAGGAAGTCCACGCTGCTCTGACCTGGAAGTAAAAAAACACAGGGGGTCTGTCACTCCAACCCAAGCACACACAGGCCTAGAGACCTCGTCTCTGAGGCGCCCTGGGTAGCATTTCAGTCTACTGGGGGACAAAAGACAACTGTGAATAAAAGTAAAGCTTTATTTCCCACACTGTCCTGAGTACTGTACCTATAACGTTGAGGGTGATGTTCTCCTGGGTTTCTGCCCTGATGATCCACTGTCCCGGACTGACGGGGGGGAGCAGGCGAATTCTGGTGAGCCCTTCAAATGTCTCCATCTGAGCCAGGTGTCCATTCTTTTCCAGGAAGGACTGTTCTTGTCCTGGAAACAAGGAGAGGTTGCAGAGAAAATAAAGTAGCGGGTTAAAATGAACAAAAGCTACCCAAACTGTATGTACAGTACTGTATGTGATCATACTCCGATACAAGACTATTGACTCAATACACACAGTAATACAATAGGCTGGTAGGAGGAACAGGCTAGCTAACTTGTAGTGCTAGTTTTACTGACATGTACTCCTAAGGAATTTTGATTTGAAACATTGAAATGAATGAAAAATGAGAATTTCTCTCCTCCGTCGCTCCTCTAGTAGTAACTCAAGATGTAGCGTTATCATGATCAATCCAGTACTCAAGTCTTAGAAAACAGATGGATTTGTATTTTAGCTCAGTGTGAAGCGTTCATTTAGTCACAGAATGAAAACTATGGTTCGGATACGGGCTTGAAAAGAAACCGCTGACTAGTTCTGGGTAAGTGAAATTAATTCAAATAAATGAAGCAGTGGTGCAAGCATAGAGAGATGGTCCGCACTGCTGCTTCACAGCTCATGGATCCCGGTTGCCCCTTCTGTGTGGAGCTTGCATGTTCTGCCCGAATTCACATGCGTTTTCACTGAACACTCCAGTTTCCTCCCTCACACATTTCAAAGCTTGACAGCTTGTCTGTAAATTGTGCCTGCGCACACGGGTGTGAGTGAGCCCTGTGATAGACTGGCTTCCCGTCTGGAAAAGGTTGCTTTGTGTAAAACCCAGCACGGCAGTGATGATGATGATCCCATACCTGAGGGACTGTGCAGGACGAAGGCCTTCAGCGAGCCCGCTATGTGGACGGTGACATTCTTCACAGAACTGTCTACGTGGAAGGAATGAGGCGACACAGAGGAGGGTCCCGTCTGGACGTGGAACAGAGTGACCTGGAACAAGGACGTCATGAGAGAGACAACAGCAGGGGAAAACAAGACTCAGCACGCTGAGCCATCCTCTTCCGCCATCTTGTTTCTCAGGGATGGGGGGGCTTGGGGCGAGCCTCCCAAAGGAGTGGCCGGTACCTTGGCGGGCAACGTGCTGTCCTGGACGATGGAGGAGACCTGCTGGATGTCTCGGTCGGTGGTGAAGACGGTCAGGCCCCCGGAGAGTGCAGACAAGCTCCTGTAGATGGAGAATCTGTCCGGAGACAAGACCTCTCTCCTCCTCCTCCGCCTCCAGCCGGCCCTGCTGGTGTCCTCTGTCAGCAGGAAGGTCACCTGCGGGCGAGAGGAACTAGGCCTCAAGCTCCCAAGGGTCACCCCTGCCTGCCTCAGGACCCTCCCAGTGACTTGGGATCCCCAGCTTGACTCCCCTGGGGAAATTCTTCCCCCGCTACCCCAGCTACAGAGCTCAGGAATCAGGAGATGTTTGTCAAGCCTCCTCCCTGAGAATGTAGCACAGCACCTAAAGGGCACTGGAATGGTTTTTGCACTTCAAATAACAGGATGAATGAAAAAAGGCATGGATATTTTACAGGTGAGGGTGAACTGATCTAAGAAATGAGAATGTTGCGGTTTCCAGCTGGGTGTTTTGGAGGGAGAGTGAAGGTAACCGGCCTGTGGACGGGGTCTCACCTTGATGCGCTTCTCCACAGTGAGTCCCTCCACGGCGCTCTGGAGGTGTCTGTCCTTGGGAGAGGCGTCTGTGAAGACGTAGATCTCGGACTGGGGCGGGCTGTGGATCAGGGCCATCTGGAACAACAGGCGCAGAGTCCGCAGAACCGGCCTCGATCACACCGCGGCGATCATGGAGGTCTCTACACCATGCTCAGCAATAACAGCAGTCTGATCTCCAGTCATTTGTCGCACGTGTGGGAAGAGACGTCCCCGTGAATCCACCCAACCTGACGACAGGCTCGCAACCAGAGTGACTGAACAAAATCCCTCCCTTCCTTCCTGCACTGATTGGGCCTGTCTGGCTCTGGCCTGGTGTCGCGCCACTGTGTGGAGGCGCAGAGGTGTGTGAAGTGTCTGGACTACAGCCCTGAGAGCGAGTTGGACTCCCAGCCCCGGCCAGGCCAGTACCTGGAGAGCAGTTAGACACATCTCCGGCTCGTCTCCTCCTCCCAGGGCGGTCAGGTCCTCCAGGAATCTCATAAACACGTCGGGATCTTCCGTCTCCTGCAGGGGACCCACAGCTGGACAAGAGGTCCTACAATTAACTCTCGTTCCGTTCAGTTTGTACCACAACTTAAATATCTGACAGACGCTCTCCTCCAGGAAAGCTACAGAATGGTTGTGTTCCACAGGAGAGACCCATCCTTTCCGAAGGAGTGGGATCGGCCCCCACATGCATACCATGATTCCTGAGCACTGTAATGAAGTAGCATACCAGGCCTTCTCATTAGCCTCCTGCAGTTTGGCAGAGGCATGGTGCACGTATCACGGTACACACCACAGACATGGTGGAACCCTTGTGGAAACACGGTTCTTCAGGGTAATTTTGCTCTCACCTGGGTCGTGAAAAGGAACCAACACGTATGTGGTGGGCTCATCCAGTGTGCCCTGCCTCTCCTGGATGATGGAGAGCGCCCGGAGGCGAGCGGCCGTGATCTCTTCGAACATGCTGCCCGTGGTGTCAATCACGAAGACCAGAGCAGAGTTCCGGCCCACGTTCATCAGCCTGCCCATGAAGCACAAACCACTGATTACACTGCTTCATAGACACGAGAGGGGACTAGACGCATTACATACAGCAGAGGAGACCCGAGACACTGCAGATCGGGGGAGGAACTGCTCCACCAGCTGAATTCAGTGGGAGCTTCAGGGAGGCAAAATTGTACAGGATCAGAGTGGACATCATTGATCCCAGTCCTACTCTCACACAGTCACAGAGTGGACACCACTGATCTCAGTTCTACTCTCACACTGTCACAGAGTGGACACCAGTGATCCCAGCCCTACGCTCACACTGTCACAGAGTGGACACCAGTGATCCCAGCCCTACGCTCACACCGTCACAGAGTGGACACCATTGATCCCAGCCCTACTCTCACACTGTCACAGAGTGGACACCATTGATCCCAGCCCTCCTCTCACACTGTCACAGAGTGGACACCAGTGATCCCAGCCCTCCTCTCACACAGTCATGGTGTCTTTAATAACCATGACATCAGTGTACCGTCTCCGCAGATGTGTGGCTCCTCCAGTAGCACAGCGCCCCTGGCTGCTAGACGGACTCACTGATTTGTTCTGCTCCTGAGGCAAGAGCACCACCCACCGGTCTAGTAACACCACAGACTGCAGCGGCCTGGTTTCCCCTGGCTGCTGAGATCGAGATCAGGCCACAGGATGATAACACGGTGGATAACACCAGATTAAGATACAGCTGTTTCATTTCCCGGTCATAATATACAGCTGCACTTCTCTGTTTTAGAACAACACAGGAAGTGAGTATTAGTGTGGCTTGTTTCAAGACCTGGCAGGATGAGATCCTGGGACCCATTAGCTCCCAACTAACAAATGGGCCAGATGGGCTATATGGTTTCCTGTCATGCACAGCCTTTCGGGTGTTTAACCTTTCAGATGCTCTTAGTTTTGAGTTGATTTCAGACTAACTATGCCAAACACCGTTCAGAACAAGCAGCACACTGAGCACCGCGGTTCTTTCCAGACCTCTGACAGGTGCCGCTCCGTACCTGAGGAAGTCAGTGACTCCCGCCGTGTCCCGGAGGTCCCGCAGCAGCGCGACGGTTGCCGCGGTTGCCAGGCGGGCGGCGTCGCCATGGAGATAGTGATGCGGGGAGAAGAGGGGGGAGGTGCTGTCCTTGTTGATGCCCCCGCGGGCGCTGAGGGAGCGGCTCTGGTCCAGGATCCCGCCGTGGCTGCACTTCCCTGCCCGGGGCGCGGAAAGGGGAACGATGAGCTCGCAAGGGCGGGACGGGCGTTTCGAGAGAGGTGCACCAGGATCACAGTTAAATACACGACGTCATGGCCGGAGGGAGAGGTGAGAAGCATGGGCTCCACTGGCACCTTCAGCCCTTCCTGTGTTGGTGCACCGACAGCTACACTCCGTAGCGCAGAGACAACATGGCGCTGAAACATTTGCGTTACGCAGAAAAGTATCTCATCGATTTCGTCTATTTGCTGACCGGCCTCCCTTATCCAGATCGAAATGCAGCACAGGATTACTACATGAGTGTCTACTGGTACACTGTGACGGTAGGTTGACTTTAAGGTACAGTGAAGCAATGTCGTCTCCTGTCCCTGCGGAGTCCCCCTGACCGGTTCTCCCCCAGAGCTGCTACCTGGCGGCTTCTTGGGGTCCGTGCCGAAGTAGCCGGTGGTCAGGAGCTTCTTGCTGTTCACGTCCTCCAGGATGTTGTTTTTGCAGCTGAAATTCCAACATTCCCTGCAGGTCTGCACGTCCTCTGTGAAGAGATACAGGGGACACAGGGGGCGGACAGGTCAGATCCTGGAGATTGCAGGCTTCTCCGTGCCCAGCCAGGTCCTGCAGCGCAAAACACTTTGGGTCACATTTTAAAGGCTAGGGGGATACCACGGGCTTCCCCTTGGCCCTTATACACATAAACTAACATTGGTTTGTCCCATCACCTCTGTGAACTGCCATGCATTATTTTTTGCTCTTTCACAGCTTCCCTTAGCTTGCATCCTGCTTAATCATACTACCCATGGTGCTCTTCTGCCATCCTCGCTCCTCTCTCCTGCCGTTATGGGTGCCATGTGTGAGCCAGGCAGCGCACTGACTGGGCTCCAGTCACTGGAAAGCCTGGCGAGAAAGTCAGCTCACCGGCGGCCACTGGTTCCAGCTGATCCGCAGAGTTCAAGAGGTCAGAGTTCACTTCGGTGTGGCCCATCTCCACCCAGTTACTGTGGCTGTAGAAATCCTGGAGGACAGGACAAACAGGACCCCGAGGAGTTACTGAGAGAGCCGCGCTGTGAAGAGAGGTGCTGAGCTGCACCACAAAGAAGGCCAACCCCGGCTCACCGTGCGTCCATCAGGAAAGACCTGGCGGCAGTTTTACAGCTGGGAAGTTTTGTGCCGGCTCTGGTGGTCTGTTTTCAGTAATCAGAAAAATTGTGCAGTCAAACAGAAAAATAAGCACGTTTTACTTACTGAATATAATAAATAATTATCCTGAATAAAGATTTTTCCACTGTGTAAAAGAGAAGTCTAAAACTCGCATAACTTTTACACTATTGAAAACTGTGCAGTACCCCTAAGGCCGTCAAACCGCTCTGCCCAGCCGCCCCCATTCCTCTCTCCTGTACCTCCTGTATCAGCAGCCATATCACCCTGCAACTCACAACTGGCAGCCCACTGGAGCTCAGCAGGTGTGAGCCTGGTCAGCACCTGGATGGGAGACCTCCTAGGAAAAACTAAGGTTGCTGCTGGAAGAGGTGTTAGTGGGGCCAGCAGGGGGTGCTCACCCTCTGGTCCATGTGGGTCCTAATGCCCCAGTATAGTGACGGGGACACTAGACTGTAAAATAGGCGCCGTCCTTCGGATGAGACGTAAAACTGAGGTCCTGACTCTCTCTGGTCATTAAAAATCCCAGGGCGTTTCTCGAAAAGAGTAGGGGTGTAACCCCGGTGTCCTGGCCAAATTTCCCATTGGCCCTTACCAATCATGGCCTCCTAATAATCCCCATTCATCACTCTGCTCTCCTCCCCACTGATAGCTGGTGTGGGGAGTGTACTGGCACACTATGGCTGCTGTTGCATCATCCAGGTGGGGCTGCACACTGGTGGTGGTGGAGGGGATCCCCATTACCTGGAAAGCGCTTTGAGTGGAGTGTCCAGAAAAGTGCTTTATAAGTGCAAGCAATTATTATTATTATTATTATCATTATTATTACCTGCAGTGAGTGCAGCAGGTAGCCCAGCCCTTCCCTGGCCCCCTGGTAGTCCCGGGCCCTGATGGAGTCCAGAGTCTGGATCCACCGCCAGCGCAGGAGGTCTCGAGCCCCCTGGATCCGCTCGGAGTCGAAGTGGTAGACGGGGTTGCTCTGCATCTCGCTCCGGAAGTCCATGTGGGCGTTGGCCCTGACCACCTCGCTCACCGCCTGCCAGAACGCCTTCATGGACACCGCCTCCTGGTCGCCGTAGTAACTCCCGAAGAGGTCGCCGGCCGTCAGCGGCTCCTGCCGGAGACCGGAAGAGAACGTCTGGGAAAAGAGGCGACCCTCCACCTCCGGGGTCCTGACAGCCCCCCTGCCTGTCCCAGGCCGACCAGGAGTCCGGTGAACCCCCCCCCGGCTCTGCGGCTCGGCCAGCCTACCTGCGGCTCCTGCTCTGGGAGGGTGCGTCCCCAGCGGTTGGGCCGGGACATGAGGATCTCTCGCGTGACGTTGAGGATGGCCTCCTCGGTGATGTCCTGGTGAGTGTAGGAGCTCCAGGCCAGAGTCAGGATTCGAGCCCAGAAGTTGGGGAAGAAGGCCGAGCAGGGAGGCAGCACGAGGGAGCCCACGCACAGCGCCCAGACCGCCGCGGGCAGCGCCATCGCTGGGGGGTGGAAACACTGCAGCTTCAAAACAACATCAGCGCACTGTGCTGCATCTGTTCTCTGAGCAGCCCAGGTGGTTCACAGGAAGTGACATGAGGGATGGCATGGAGAGTCCAGTGAGCTCTGCCAGTGAGCTTCAGATGTTTAACAACAAGAAGCTATTTCCCCTTGGATACTTCCTACCACACGGTGACTTCTGAGCACTCCAATCAGGAACTACTTTTTTCACATGTACCAGTTTATACAGTGGTGTAAAAAAGTGTTTGCCCCCTTCCTGATTTCTTTTTTTTTTTT